CCCTGCCGACGGGGAGGTTTTTTGTTTAAAGGAGATGCCTGAGCCTGAGACTATTGTGAATCATGGGCACAGGGCGAGGCGCATTCACGCATTTAAAGTCTGCATGGAGACGCATTCAAGGTCGATATGACGACCCACGCCAGAGTGAGTGGCAACAACTCCCTAAGAATCCGAGACTGTGGTAAAGCCCTCACTGGAGCAATCTGATGGAGTAAGGATTGCATCTTGTGGGTAGGACTCACGCTGGAGAAGTCTGTGGATTTTCCTCATGAGTAGGGGATCCACTGGAGCAAGGGAAAATGGTGTAAGGACTCTGTCTCCTGTAAGAGAAGCGGCAGTAACAGCACGGAATGAACTGACCTGCACTCCCCCATTCTCTGCCCCCCTGCGCCGCTGGGGGGAGGAGGTAGAGCCGGGAAGAAAAGGCAAAAGGGGAGGAGTGGTGTTGTTTTTAAGATTTGGCCTTGTTTTCTTGTTATCCTCTCAAGTAACCATTTTTGTTTGATTTTGTCTTTTTAGGTAGCTGTAAACTGAGTCTCTTTTGCCCGGGACCATGGTTGGTGGGTGCTCCTCTGTTCTTGTCTCGACCCTCAGTCCTTTTATTATATTTTTCTCCTCTCCATTTTACTGGAGTGAGAGACCGACTGCGTGGAGTTTAGTTGCTGGATCGGCCTAACCCACGACATATTTAGAGTCAGAATAAAAATTTTCTACACTGTCTATCCCCAGGAAGCCACAGATAAATAATGAAGAAACTGTAATGCAAATACTGTATCTCACATATGCATGCACGCAAATCAAAGCACAACTTTCATGCAAACTAGATAATTCTAAATGTACTTAACTAAAATATGTATGCTGTCTCTGAGGAAAAAGAGAAACTATGCCACCAATACCATGACTGTCCAAGACATCCTCAAAGGATCAAGAAAGAACAAGAAAACTAGAAAGGAAACAGAATGGCACAACACCAAATACTTTCTGTAAAAAAAAGAAAATACAACACAAAGCTTAGAAACATGAATTGCAAATGAAGACGGAGCTCACAAATACAGCAGAATTCTGTAGACTGCTCCAAAGACATCATAATCGAGATTTGTAACACTATCTTTCGTACCCTTGAAAGGAACAAGGTTGAAGAAAATAAAAGTATGCTAAACAAGGCTATGGACTGTCAAAGAGACAGAAACCAAGTAACAAGAATAAAAGAAGAAAGCACAGTTCACACTGCAACACACAAAAAGAAGCCTTTCCAATGAGAATGAAAAATGCCCACAATACACAACAGAGAAAATTATTTATAAATCACTAAAATTCATTGAGCCAGGGGATTACAAATCTTATCACTCCTTGTCTGCTGTGCTTGTCTTCATCAAAAGCACAATACACTTCTTTTTTCAAACTGCAAGAGTCGACCTCAACATGCTCAATAAACCCAAGTAATGGGAAAGGCAAATGTAAAGTGATTATATCACTCCTAATTTTATGAAGTTAAGATTGACGAAATAATAAGCTGAACTGAGCAACTGTGGTAACAATGTGAAGTCATTTCAGAATTCAAATCAAAATGCTGTCTTCAGTTAGGAAGTTGTAAAAGTCCATACTTGTACAAATAACAATAATAATAAAAAAAAGCCAGAAAGCCATAGTGAAGAGTTGAGACACACGTGGGCAAGAATTTATCCCCTTTTATGGCATATCAAGACAATCTGCATTACTTGTTGTTGTTTTAACCTGTTTTCCATTTCTTTTTTTAAATCAACATCTTGATTACTTTGACTTTGCTCAAAACCTGATTCAACAGGTATGAGAACCACAGGTTTCTGAGAATCACATGAAAAACTAATGAAAACACTGTAAAAAAATTATTTACTCTTAATTCTTCACTTTTTTACCTACACAAGAATGTCCTTAGCAAGAAACTCCAGTTTTGTGGGGTTTTTTAACTTGTTTTGCTTTTGTTAATGCCTATTACATTATAAGAAGATGCAAGTATTATGAAAAAACTATGTAAATTAAGGTTTCCATTTACTGATGTAGTGTACCAGTTAGAAAGATCTTGTGACCTTAAACAAACACACCTCAGCAAAACTTAGAAGAAATACAGGATTAAAGTACTTTTCTCCACCACCTCTCTGTCCCAGAGGACCCAGTGTACCAACACAACCACTCACACTTCTGAAAACAGAGTAAACTCTGTGGGAAAAAGGCACAATAAACCATTGGCGTTCAAGAGCCTGATAACCTTTCCTGTGCTAAATGAGGACATATAGGTGCATTGTATTGAATAGCAATTATCGATATCTGCTGTACTTCAAAAAACATAATCCATGAAGATAAAGCCACACCTCTTTAATGTCATTTTACTGCCCTTACGTACAAGATATAATGTGAAAATCTACCTTACCAAAAACTTCCCATACCACTGTCATGCTTCACCTCATTGCTTAAAGCCCTGGGAGTAAAAGGCCCTCCTGCGTTGCTACTCACATACAACCTACTGAGCACTGTATTTAAGAAAATGAGTATGAATCTTGGTTTGTTTTTCATCTTATGCTCCAGGTTACAGATAAGCTGAGGCACTAGATGCCTCCTCATATACTTCTTATGGGAAAAATTCATTAAATCCTTCATCACAACTCTGTTGATCTGCTCCCTTCCATCACTCAACATAATCACAGGCAGCAGAGAGAACCTCCTGTGATTATTAACAATTTGGGGGCAATGGTGTTACGGATGCGTAGCACATGCCTTAAAATTTGAGTTTAATATGTCAAAAGATTTATTTTTTTCTGAACTTGACATCATGGAAGATCATGAGATACCATCACACTGCCTTAACATTAAATTCAACTTGTAGCTTCTAGATATATGAGTAACTGTGGTTATCATGTACGATTGCAGTTGAGACATGACTGTGTTAAGGAAAAGATACAAGATGCTGCCTGATTGTTAAAGGGCTCCTTTCATTCCTGTAGACTTCACTGTGCTCTAACAGTTTGCTGTGAAACCAGGAGGTATGTCCCAAAATCCATTAGCTCTAGTGCCTTTATATATGAGCATGTCTATAATGTCCACTAGTCTTTCTACTTATACCTGTAGCTAACTCGTTTATTCTATCCTAAGAACTTTTAGAGATACACAATTCTTTATTCATTAAACTTACCAGGCAGCCTGATAAGAGTTCTACATGCAAGTGAAATAGTTCTACAAATTGAATATTTAGTGGCTTCACTTCAGTGTGTTACTGCCACCAACGTGTCAGAGGGAACCAGGGTCTGTCAGTGCACATGAGCCAGTCTGCACCCAGGAAAGAACAAGGGCAGTAAAAGATGCTACCATCTTGGGTTTGTATCAACATATTTATCTGATGTCACCAAAAGTGGAACGAGCAGTCCAACCAATTCCTTATTAACTCACAATCACATAATTTCTGGTTGGAAAAGGTCTGTGGAGGTCATCTACTAGCAACACTAGAGAGGTCTAGCTGGGGCTTTGTCTAGCACAACCTAACAATCACCAAGGATGGAGGTTCCCACGGACTCTTTGTGTAATATGTTCCAGCACTGTACTGCCCTCCTGGTGAAGAGCCACAGCAATTACTAAACTATTCCTGGAACTGTAAGGATTGCTCTGTCTCTTTTACCCCTGAGTTCCTCGCATTGATTACATTGGCTATTGACAACTGCTTCTGCTGAAGTATGTCAGACAGGTACTAAATCATTATAGTCAATCAGATCTCGTGAGATGCTCAGCATTCCTTCAGAAGCAGAGAACACCCCCCCACACATCAAACTATCACAAGGACAGTCTGCATATCTCAAGATTGATTTGTCAAAGCCTAAATCCCCTACAAAAAGTAAAATTCATAACCTGAGAGGAAAAACAATGCATTACAGTGTATTACAGTGCTGCATAGTTTATCTGAATAAATGTCGTGCATTAACAGCGTTGTCAGCTTCTAATTAAAAAGCAATCATGAAAACAAACTATTTTATTTTATTAGCTTCACTATGCAGTATGTACAGACAAAGAAAAACCTTACCAGTTTTTGGCATGACTGCCTTTCCTTCAAGAGTACTGCTGTACTCGACTTCGCAATCTTTTCAAAGTTTAGCTTTAAAGAAAGTAACACAATCATAATGCTAACATGTTAAAAATCACTGACAGTGTTTTTGGTCCTGACTGACAGAACAGTTTCTTAGTGTGTTAGAAAGACAATTTTGACCGGCATTTTAAAGTAAGATTTTTCTAAAATCTACCAGTTAACTTCAAATGTCTAAAACAGTGAAGCAATATACATACCTGCAACTGGAATATTCTGTGAGACTGACAGCTGTACGTCTCCAGTCCCAGGTGGCATGTCAATTACTAAATAGTCCAGCTGACCCCAGTCAACCTAGAAGACAAGAATAAAAATGTATGTTGGAGGTTTGAAGTGTTTTTATTTAAGGCACTTTGTGGTTTATTGCAGTCCTTGTTTCCTAGAATGTAAAACAAGAGTACCAAGGACACCTCAAAAGAATGATAGTGACATACCCTTTTAGTCACGCTTTCAGTACAGGATCAAGACACTATTTTTCTAAGAGATGCAATCTTTGTTGATCAATCAAAATTACGAGCACAGCTTTACTATTAATTTTATGAGCATAATCCTTATTGAATTCTTTCCCAAAAAAAAAGTAGCAACAACTTAATTTAAGACTTTCAATTCAGAGCTACTAAATCACAAGTTAGAAGCAAATATTAGGTAATACTCAGTCTAAAATTCAGGGATTTGTACAACAAATATGACTTAGGAATTGTTTCTATTAATTTAAAACCAACTTTGCTTGCTTCTTATCACTTCTTTGAAACTACATATAAATCTTTACTAATTTTTTTCTCATTTGTTGTTGCAAAGCTAGAGCTATCAGTATTGAATTTTTTTCTAGGAAAAAGAGCTATTGGGAGAAAAAAAAAAAAACAACAAAAAACCAACACAACCAACAGATTTCTTACATGAAAATCACTAGCTATAATTATACAAACTTAAAACGTACGTAAGACATCATACAATAAAAAAAGTTGACTGGCTGCTACACATCAAATGAGAGTAATCATTAAAGATACTAGGCTTAAATATGAGAATGCTGTGATTATTTATGTTCTTTACTAGGTCAGATTTCCAGGAAAGCCAAATAACTCTTCCTAGAGCATGGTGTACTGCAATAAATGTTCTCTTCATGAGAGCAGAAATGGTCCTAGGCCTACTTTATATAATGCAAAGCCAAGCTATGGTTCGCTTAAACATTTCCCAACAGTTTCAATATGCTTTGGGAGATCCTCGATTCAACTCTGACATGGTGCAGGTCAGTACCAGTGCACTGTTATCAGCCAGCAGTAACGTACAAGGTCTTCCCTCTCTGCAATACAGAAGCTGTAGAAATCATAACCAAATTAAAAATAAAGACCCACAGATGTCGCCCCCTCACTTTTCTCTCCACACAGACAATGCAATTGTATGGTATGTTTCTGATTCATTCATGTATAAGATACAACAGTATGAGCTGCTTTAATACAGGAAAATACCAAACGAGCAGGATTTTACTTTCTCTTTTATTTTACACATTCTCTCAGTGTCATTTTAACAGCAAAAACGATTGACATTTTGCCAGTCCCCCAGTTATTGTCCTGCAGTGTTAGACCCTGTCAGGGGAACGCTCATTCATTTTCATTCACTTCTTGTACGGATGATGATCTCCTGGGGAAGCACAAGTGATGCGAAATCCAGACCACTAACCCAATGTAGCACTCCAACGACAAATGGAATTTTTCAAGGCAAGCTGATGAAGACGGAAGATTTCAGAGCACTTACGGGAGAAGGGGGTTGGGGAAGGCTAGTTGCAAATTCTAACTTTAGATGTCTGAATTAGGAACTCTCAGGCACACCTCCCTTTCCTCATTTTCTACACAAAGGTTGCAGGGGCACGAAATGGTGCCTAAGGCAGTCCAGCTGAACAGGAAACACTACTTATGTTAACCACAGCAAACACTGCACTTTACTTTTTCACATTTAATATTGAACTATATTATCTATAATATCTATATTATAATATCTGTATTTTGTCAACAAAAATGACATTTACCTGGCAGATTTCGAAAAGTAATTAGCATTTATAATCATATTAAGACTATATAACTCCATAGAAAAGTTACATATGTGTGCAAAAATCTATGTTTTTAAATGTAAGTATAGGGTAGAGGAGCCAGGTTAACTAAAAAAATCTGAGTTTTCCTTTGTTTTTCTTGACTAATTTGCTTAGTTATAAAGCAAGCTAAATGCCAGTGCTGACGAATGTCTCTTTTTCCAGTGGAAAATTACTTTGTTCAATTGAAGGCATGAACTTTAAATTTCTGTGTTTCTTAGTTAAAAATTAACCACTATAAAGGTGACAAATTTGAATTATATAGATGTTAAAAAGTAGCAGCAGTTTACAACATAAGTAAAGACAAGTTCCTTAAGGATTCGCAACTAAACACACAGATCCTCCATAAATAGTTAAGAGCATAAATCTCAATATGCAAAACCAAATCTTTCATAATAATCACAACCATTTTGAAACATTAAGTTATGGAGAGTTTTACTTTTTAGGAAAGATTAACTCAATATAATTTTCCCTCCCTGTGTCTTCATAAATCCTGATACTGGCATCTTTTATTAAGTCCAAATTTACAAGTCCAGTAATCACACTCTCCTTCCTTAAATACTTCCATGGAAACTACGAGTAAACTGGTTTTTTGCTTTCTGCCTTGAAGCAAGATACGTTCCAGAAACATATTTAAGAGCAGCATAGTACTACAATCATTGACACAGCTTCCAATCACTTGATTCTTGAAAAAACTTGCATATCGAGATGTTTTCAGCCTTTTCCTCCATGAACTCAAATTCAAGTCCTTTTAGGTGCAGCACTGTCTCATGGAGTAGTACAAGGCAACCCAAATCCCAATATTATCAGTGGTAACTGGAATAAAAAATAAATACACTGGCTTTTTTCCCATAGCTAAAAGCTGTCTGGTTTTGCATATACTTGCTGGCCCTACCCTTAAGCTAGCTCCTCTTATTGAACAAGGTGCCTTTCTGGGCCTGTCCTATAGCTTTATTTTTCACTCTTACCAGAGGTTCTGCTCCTCCAACCTCTTCAAGCACTAGTGTCCTCCATCAAGCTCCATGTGATCCTCCCACCTAGCAAGCATTATAGTTCCCCAAAGAAAACATCTAGATCTATTCCACTACTATGTGGAACACTAACGGAGAAGACCTCAAAGGCCAGTGCTCAAACCCTTTCCCAGGCATTCAGTTTTGCAGGGAAGCACAAAGCAGCTGCTGCTCTTCTAAGCAGAGGTAACTGCCTTGGTAAAAATGTCTCCATGTAGAATCTTTAAAGTAAAAGAATATTTTATAAATAGCTTACTGCTTCAAAAACACACAAAACAATTGTTGTTCAAGAAGTTACTTTCAAAATTTACCACGTATAGCAGAATGGGTGAATGGGTAGAGAACTCGGAGGGCACCAGAGCTTTCTGCCTCAAGCTTCCTTAGTAAGTGACCCCAAAACAACCAAAAGAACTTCGAACATGCACTTTCTGAATTGTCCTACGAGTAATGATTTTTATTAAAGTTATAAACCTCTGAAAACAGACATTAATAATGGAATCTTAAGCATATGGTAAATTTCATGGTAAATCTCATTGCCAGGCAACAGGAAAAATACTCTGTTAACACATAGTGCAATTAAATTATAACGCTTTACTTAATTTATGGCACTGAAACCATCTTATTTCATGTATTTTCTTCAAATTCATGGATTGAAAAAAAGAAATGAGCTCTCTTTATCAAATGAATTGTGCTTCATTATAATACTTATAAATCTGAGCACAGAAAAATGGAGAAGCTACACCATCCCAGCAGCAGTGGAGAGAATGTGTTGCTGCTGTGCAGAGCAGTAAGAAGACAGGCTTTTGTCACACCAGTTCAGAAAAGGCAACAGTGAAGACATCTAGGTGCACAAGTGTTGAATATATGTGAGGACTACCCTCCACACATCTCTCTAAGTTATGCCACTAGTGGAAATCAGATGGCAAACTCGATTAGAAGAATCACTCCTCATTAAAACTAACCTTGTTTTTTATTTTGGATGTAGTCAAACAGTTATCCTCACAATTTTATTCTCTTCTTTTTCATTAGTAATTTGAGGTGAGAATGGAGAGCTGCACCACAATGACATAGCTACAATTGCTGAAAAAAAACTGAACTGGTATTTTTGCCTAGTAGTGAGCAGTGTCCTCTAGACATATGGATTTGCTCGATTTAGGTTGGGGAATTCTGCACCTCATCACATTTTTCTCTGTAGACTTCCTCTTACTGTTTTGTATTCTGCAACAAGTAGACGATGAACACTGTGGGGTTCAACTGCTCCTCCATTACCCTCCCACAGGAACACAGAAGCAGCATGACACTCTTTTATTAAACAAATCATTGAATGTAATTTGGAAGGCATAACGATTTGGTACAGAAGTGTACATATTACTTAATGGGAAAAGAAATTTCAGGTTGGTTACTAAATTTCAGCAAAGGAGAAAAAAACGGGAAGATATTTTTAATTAAATTTAGAATCAGAACATATAATCAGAGGAGTGGCTTTCTGAAATCTACTATTGCCACTCATTCAATATCATTAAAATGGGACATATAATCAGGCTGTGATATAAAACACTAATTTGAATGCAAATCCTGTTTATATGCAACAATTTACCAAATCAGGACCACTAGTCCTCATGTTCCCAATTAGTTCTGAGAAGTATGCCTGTATGCAAATGCAGCAGCGTGCAAGTAAATGAGCTCAGATTAACAGCACATTACAGTAAATGAGTTCCCCGTGCAAGCAATAAGCGGACAGCGGTTACAAAAGCCTGCCTTGTAGCATCTGAAATCTGTCCTCACCTTTGCATGTACAGAAGTGTTAATATCTTTGCCCCTCTAATAGATACAGTGTGTAAAACATTTCAAACCATAGAAATGCAATTGCACTTTCTGTAAGTATGGCATTCATTTTTTTAAAAAGGTTTAACTTGACATTTATTGTTAAGCAATGTAATTAAGTGCCATGTGCTTCTGTGTATTTTCCCTTGCTCCAAAACACCACGAATGCCACTTCGTAAATTACTTGATTCAATCATTCTGTTCATGTGACAATTAATAATGAAAATACCAGATATGCATTTTGAGGAAGGGTTCCCAATAGCAAGTTAAACCCGAGGTAGAGCATAGAGACATAGATGGCATTTCTGCTGAGGAAGGATGCCTGAGCAACCTCCGTGCATGAGGCAGAAATGACAGAATATTAGCACAGAAGAGGG